AAATTCTGAAATGTAAGCAGGAAAATTGTATAAGTTTCTTTATTAGGACGTGGTCCCATTCCTGCCCAAAAGTAATTTCCCATGGTTCTCTCTCAGGGTTCTTTGTTCCAACCTCTATGTTATCCTTCCTTCTTTAAATATGATAGGCAGCCTGTATTTTCAACTGTGTAGCTTTTGCAAAAGGTTTTGGGGGTCCAAAGTCCTGTTTTTCTTTTTGTGGTGTTTCTGTCCTTGTCATTAAAAGTTGGTGATGTGTCTAAAAATAAAATTCTTTCAAAATCATTTTTGATCTGTAAATACACATCACACCCTGAAATCTCTTCCATTCAGTATTTCTTCACTCTGATTTTCTTTTGGGAGGTTTGTATAATAAAGTCTTTACATTTCTTAAAAGCCCTATTGTTTGATGAAGAAATTCTCCTAAGCACACTCTTAAGCTCTTTAAAGTGCTTTTGTCCAACTTAATATTCTGAGGCACAATATTTTATCTCTCTGATACCTTGACAAAAAATTTTAGAGCCATAGCTTCAGCTTCACCTTGAGACCATATTTTCCTGGCAAAACCCTGGATTTGATCATTACTTAGAAGCCATTACTTAACTTTAACATATTTGGCTTTCAGGGGATGCTAAAAAATGTTCAAATCATTAGGTCTAAACTCCTTAGTGACTAATACTCCTTTTAGTTTCATCCTTCACATTTCATCATAAGCATCAAAAAAAACCAGGCAACAACTTTAACACCTTACACATTTTCTTCTTTCCCTGTTATTTCAGGCAACAATGTTGATAAACTGCTATTTTAATTGGGATATGTTCTTTATCAGATGTTTAATTTTGTTATTTTCTCCCAACCTTTGTCTTGACATTTCTTTTCCTTTAAGTGGTGTTTTTTTTTAAAGTCAGAATTGATATAAGGTATTAAAAGAATTGACATTAGGTATATTTGACATATAATAGGGGCACTTGGGTAGCTCAGTCGGTTAAGGTCTGCCTTTGGCTCAGGTCATGATCCCAGAGTCCTGGGATCCAGTCCCGAGTTAGGACCCTTCCTCCCTGCTCATGATCTGTCTCTTAAATAAATAAAATGTCTAAAAAATAATGGACATATAATAAAGTGCATATGTCTAAAATGTACAATTTGATAAGTTTTTACATATGTGAAACTATCATCATTCAAGATAATGAGCACATTATTATTAACTTGTTTTTGGTCAGTTTAGAACAGTTCTCATTTAAAAAATTATGAGTAGAAAACATTGTAAAGAAAATAAAAACACTAATTTTTTTAAAAAATTTATTTATTTATTCATGAGACACAGAGAGAAAGAGAGAGAGAGGCAGAGACACAGGCAGAGGGAGAAGCAGGCTCCATGCAGGGAGCCCGATGTGGGACTCGATCCCGAGACTCTAGGATCACGCCCTGGGCCAAAGGCAGGTGCTAAACCGCTGAGCCACTCAGGGATCCCCCCACCTTTTTAAAAAGATTTCATTTATAAAAACCCTAATTTGAAAAGACACATGCACTCCTATGTTTCTTGAAGCATTATTTGCAATAGCCAAATATGGAAGTAAACCATGTCCATCTAGAAGACTGAATAAAGATACACACACAAATGGAATATTAGTTGTAAGAAAGGATAAAATCTTGTCATTTGTAGGAACATGGATGGGTCTACAGGGTATAATGCCAAGTGAAGTAAGTCAGAGAAAGACAAATTCACTCCTAGGTGGAATTTAAAAAACAAAACAAATTAACAAAGGAAAAAAAGAAACAAAATAGCAGATTCTTAGAGAACAGACTGGTGGTTGCTAGAAGGGAGGTGGGTGGATAGGTAAAGGGGATGATGAACCTGAATAATCTTTTCTTTTTTCTTTATATAAAAAAAAGATTTTATTTGAGAGAGACCACAAGTAGGAGGAGTAGGAGGAGAAGCAGGAGAGGGAGGGCTCAATCCCAGGATTCTGGGATCATGACCTGAGCCAAAGGCAGATGCTTAACCGACTGAGCCACCCAGGCACTCCTTATTAATTTTAAACAAACCTGGGGTTTTATTTCACTTTTAAAAAAACTTTTTAAAAATATTTTATTTATTTACTCATGAGAAACAGAGAGAGAGAAAGAGAGAGAGGCAGAGACACAGGCAGAGAAGCAGGCTCCATGCAGGGAGCCTGACCTGGGACTTGATCCTGTGTCTCCAGGATCATGCCCTGGACTGAAGGTGGCGCTAAACCGCTGAGCCACCCAGGCTGCCTCACTTATTTTTTTTTAAATGTATGGTATGGTTTTGATCTTCTCTAATGTGTCTGTTTTATATTTCATGGACTGATGCTTTTACCTTTAATACCTTTTTCCTTTTCCTATAGTTCTTACTATATTCTTAGCTTGGATACTAGGCTCATTAATTTTTCACCCCCCTTTAAGTATTTAAGGCTATAAATTTCCCTTGGAACATTCTTTCACCATGTCTCACAGGTTTTTTTAAAATTTTTATTTATTTATGATAGTCACACAGAATGAGAGAGAGAGGCAGAGACATAGGCAGAGGGAGAAGCAGGCTCCACGCACCGGGAGCCTGACGTGGGATTCGATTCTGGGTCTCCAGGATCGTGCCCTGGGCCAAAGGCAGGCGCTAAACCGCTGCGCCACCCAGGGATCCCGTCTCACAGGTTTTTAATGTGTTTTCATTATCATTAAATTTTAAGATGTCCCGCATGATTTCTTACTTGATCCATAGAAGGAACCCTCATGCACTGTTGATGGGAAAAAAACCTGCAGCCTTGGTGAAAACAGGATGGGTGTTCCTCAAAAAATTAAAAGATAGAATTACCACATGATCCAGTAATTCCACTACTGGGTATATACATTTTTAAATATTTACTTATTTCAGAGAGAGAGAGAGAGCCAAGTGCACAAGCTGGGGAGACAGGAGAGGGAGAAGCAGACTCCCCACTGAGCAGGAAGCCCGGTGTGGGGCTTGATCTCAGGACCCTGAGATCACGACTTGAGCTGAAAGCAGACACTTAACCAACTGAGCCACCTGGGCACCCCCTACTCCTGGGTATTTACCCACAGAAAATGGCAACACTGATTCAAAAAGGCATGTGAACCCGTTTATTGCATTCTTTACAATAGCCAAGATACGGAAGCAACTCCAGTGTCCATCCAGAGATGAATGGATAAAGAAAATGTGGTATATATACACAATGGAATATTATTCAGACATTAAAAAGCATGAAATCTTGCCTTTTCAACATGGATGGAGCTACAGAGTATAATGCTAAGTGAAATAAACCCAACAGAGAAAAATACTGTATTTAGAAATGTGCTTTAAATTATGAAATACATGTAGATGTTTTATTTACCTTTATTAATATATAACTTAATTGCAGTGTGTAAGACAGCATGAATCCTATGCCAATTCTTTACATTAGTAAATAATTTTTTTCCTGATCTAGTGCAGAATCCGTTCTTGTAACTGTTGCAAATGTCTCAAATGGATTATTTCTAGAATTCTTCAAAACAGAAATGCATATATTTCCATTTCAATTTGGTAAGGCTTGTGAGTTGGGTTGTGTAAATCTTCTGTATGCTATTGATTTGTATATGTGAGTTCTCAATAATTGAAAAGGTGTTGAATTAGTTCACTTGGTGGATTTTCAAGTTCTCCTCAGACTTCTATTAATGCTTTGTATATTGTCAGGCTATTTTTAAATGTATATGCAATATCACATGACATTTTCAAGGAAGTAACATCCCATCAACTTTGCCATACCCTGTTGATTAGAAGCAAGACACAGATCCTGCCCACGTTTAAGGGGAAGAGATCACAGTGTAAGGATCACGATAGATCTTTCAGATCTACCTTTAGAGTCATACTTTTACAATAAATATTTGTTACTATTAAACACCTCCTGGATAATATAAGTGGCTTAGAACACTTCAACTCCATTTATACCCATCCCAACTTACATTGTCCTACATTTGACAAGGTAGACTTCATTAACTTAAAAACTTTTGCTCTGAATAAAGTACTATTAATGGAAAGACAAGCCAGACTCAGAAAACCCATTTCCAAATAACATCTGGCAAGAGACTTGTATCAAGAATATATGAGGATTGCACTCACATGTGGAATTTTAGAAACAAAACAAACAAGCAAAGGGAAAAAAGTAAGAGAGGGAGACAAATCAAGAAACAGACTCTAATTATAGAGAACAAGCTAATGGTTACGAGAGGGGAGGAGGGCGGGGTGGGGGTGGGGAGAGGGGCTGGGTGAAACAGGTGATGGGGATTAAGGAGGGCACTTGTGATGAGCACAGGGTGTTGTACAAAGTGTTAAATCACTATATTGTACACCTGAAACTAATATAACACTGTATGTTAACTGACTGGAATTTTAAAAACTTAAAATAATAGGGGTGCCAGCATGGTGCAGTAGGTTGGCCATCTGACTCTTGGTTTCAGCTCGGGTCATGATCTTGGGGTCATGGCACCAAGCCCTGTGTAGAGGCCCACATGCAGTGTGGATTCTGCTTGGGTTTCTCTCTGCCTCTCCCTCTGCCCCTCCCCCCTCTAAAATAAACAGGTAGATCTTTAAAAAAATTAAGAATATATAAGGAAATCTAAACACTCAATAGTAGGAAAAATACACCCCAATAAAAAGTGGGGAGGTGCGTAAAAGATTTGAACAGATAGTTCACCAAAAAAGATATTCAGATGGCAAATAAGCATATGAAAAGATGCTCAAACTCTTAAGCCATTAGAGAACTGAAAATCAAATCTACAATGAGATAACACTATATACCTAGCAGAATGGCTAAACATTTAAAAAATGTATAATAATACCAAGTTCTGGGGAAGATGTGGAGCAACTGGAACTTGTACTGGTGGGAATGCAAAATGACACAGGAAGTTTGGAAAAGCTTGGTACTCATTCCCACTCCTAGGCATTTACCCTATAGAAATGAACATTTATGTTCACACCACACCAGTACCTGTAAGTTTATAGAAATTTTATTCATAATTGCCCAAACTGGAAACATCTCACATGTCCATCAATTAGTGAATGGATAAAAAACTGTGGTACATTCATGCAATGAAATATAACAATAAAAAGGAATAAACTAATAATTCTCATAACATGGATGGATCTTAAATGCATTTCACTAAGTGAAAGAAACCAGACCAAAATATCTACATATTGCATGATTCCAATCATATGACCTCTGGAAAGGGAAAAACCATAGGGATGGAAAACAAATCAGTGGTTTTCAGGGACTGGTAAAGGGGAAAGAGGTTTACAACAAAAAGAAAAATTGAGAGAAAGTATTAGTAATAAAACTGTTTTTGAATGATACTAAAGTAGTATATATACATGATTATACTTGTCAAAACCCATAGAAATGGGGTGCTTGGGTGGCTCAATGGGTTAAGCATAGGTCTTCAGTTCAGGTCATGATCTAAGGGTCCTGGGATGGAGCCAGCCTCTCTCACCCCATCCCCTGCCCGGTGGAGAGTATGCTTTTCCCTTTGCCTCTCCCCATTGCTCCTGTGTGCTCTCAAAAAAGTAAAATCTTAAAAAAAAATAACCATAGGACTATGAATCAGGGCTGAATTTTACTGTATGTAAATTACAAATAAAAATCTCTAATAGAACAGATATATATTTTTACCTATTCAATGAGCAGAGATTTATGAAGAGAGAGAAAGGTCATATTTTGATGAATGTGTAGAGAAATACACACATTTATACACCACTGATGGGAATATAATTTGTACAACTATATTGGGGACAATTCAACATCTTTCAGATGCCCAAATAATGGTCTCATCACTGAAACTCAGTAATTCCAGTTCTAGAAATTTACTGCAAAGAAATAATTAAGAATGTACATAATGATTAATGTACAATGTTTATTACATTTTATAGGCAAAATTGGTAATATGCAAAATGTCCAGGAGCATGTAATCATCTACCTAAATTTTGTTAGATCCATATGAAATATTATGTAACACTTAATACTGTGTTTTCAAAGGATGCTAATGACATGGAAATACACTGTTGATTTTCAAATGAAAAAAGATGGAGAACAACATACACAGTATGATGTCAATTTTGCTTTAAAATTATACACCTAAAACTAATATAACACTGTATACGAACTGGAATTAAAATAAAAACTTAAAAGGAAACATACTCAAATGCTGAGTTGTTTTCTAGATTATAAGATTATAGGTGTTCTTTATTTTTTAATTTACACCTCTGATTTTTCAACAATGATCATGTTACTTTTATCATCAAGAAAATAAGTATTTTTAAAATTCTGAAACAACAAACAAGCCCAGCCCAATCTAGCCAAGTCCATGATCTTTTCTGTTGCCATCTTTACTTAGAAGACCACACTGTTGTCCCCTGGATGCTTGTTGTCCTCTTGTTCCTTCAAGTACTGGACTCATACTACAGATGAACACCTGTCAAAGCAAGAGAGTGGCAGTATCTCTCCAAGAACATGAAACTTCTATGTTAATACTGGCCTAGTCAGCACACAAGCTGAGAATAGTGTCAATCTCCATGACCTATATAGGGAACAGATGCTTTTAAAAGCTGTAATGGGGATCCCTGGGTGGCGCAGTGGTTTGGCGCCTGCCTTTGGCCCAGGGCGCGATCCTGGAGACCCGGGATCGAATCCCACGTCGGGCTCCCGGTGCATGGAGCCTGCTTCTCCCTCTGCCTGTGTCTCTGCCTCTCTCTCTCTCTCTCTCTCTCTGTATGACTATCATAAATAAATAATAATAATAAAAGCTGTAATGCCCATATGACATAACTGGAAGTTCCCCTTTTTTTAAAAAAAAGATTTATTCATGAGAGACACAGAGAAGGCAGAGACATAGGGAGAGGGAGAAGCAGGCTCCTCGCAGGGAGCCTGATGTGGGACTCGATCCCAGAACTCTAGGATCACGCCCTGAGCCGAAGGTAGATGCTCAACTGCTGAGCCACCCAGGAGTCCCAAGTTCCCCTCTTCTAAATCTCTTCTATGAAAGAATCTTTTATGACTTGTCTCCAAAGCAGCTCTTCTTGTTAGGTATTCTATCATGCTCTAGGGATTGACAAATAATAGGTCTAAGGGTTGATCTTTCATTGTACTGTTTCCTTACAGCTGCCTTACCAGGTGTTTGGAGTTGCCTAGAACCACTGTGCCCTCTGCCCCTACCCCATCCATCCTAGATGAAAAAATCCGAGCTATTTGATACTATTTGTGCTATGTCCTCTGTCCTCAACTCCTTTAAAACTCTGTCACTGATCCAGAGATTTCTAAGTTGCAAACCTTGTTCTGGGTTGTTTCTCAATAGGGGTCACAACAGAAATCTTCACAAAGGCAGCTGTACCTGAGAAGAGTGCTTGGCAGAGACTCTCACACCAAAAGCAATGGAAGTAGTGCAACAACTCATCTTTAATCCACCTTAAAAACTGGTTTATGAAGCAAATCTCAGGGCCTCCTCCTCCACATAAAGGATTTTATGACCTCCCTCACTTTTCTCCCCTCTCTCCATTACTAAGGGTAATAAGGAGTTCATTCCTATCTTCACTCACAAACATCAGAGATCTCAGGTTTGCTTCCTTCATTAATGTAGGTTTCTAGGTTCGGTTATCTACTAAAATGTCAAATTTCTGTTACTCCTGTATGGTATTTCACAGCCTTCTTCTCTCTCCTTATATCCAGAGAAAAACATGGGTGCCACTCCAAACACTCACTGAGGCTTCATTTACTCTTTCACAACAAGGCTCCTCCCAGATGATGGCTGCTACAGATGGCCTGAGGAAAGGAAAAGAAAAAAAAAACACCTGCTGAAATCATCAGGGTAGGCAGGGAATGTAATGTGGTTAGTGAGAGCAAGGAGTGTGCAGAAGGGGGGCAGAAGAGTAGGCCCTCCTACTAGTATTTTGTAATCAGCTGAGACATCAGGATTAAGTCCTGGGGTCCATAGGGTTACTGGCCTTGGCTACAGCTTCTCCAGTAGCTGCCATGATAGCAGGTGGGAGTGGGTATCAGGCTGATTAACATTAGTATTCCCCAACTGCAGAGGCAAGTATGACAAATTCGATCCCGATTCTAGTATTCATGACTCTCTGGGTCTTAAGAGATGGAAGAAGGAAGTGCTAATGAAAGAGAGTGATTCCTAATAGCATATACCGAGGCCAGAAAAGTGCCAGTGGAAGGACAGAGTATGGCTTTGGTTTGCTGTCATCAGTGATCTCTTAGTCAAGGAGCTGAAGGAAAAAGAAATAATATGAGTGCAGGCATAGGGGTTACTTTCAAGTCAATCGACTGTCTTTAGTCCATGAAGCTGGGGTCTTATTGCTGAAACCCAAACTCCTCCCTGGTGGCCTATATTCTAGCAATGGAGATCCAACCATTTTTGACTACTGAAACCTAACAAAGCAAGCCTCATACCTTATTTTAGGTATTTTTTCCCTGTGAAAATGGACTACTCTTTATGGGAAGGGACAGTTCATATATGCACACACAGTACAATTGCTGAACAGAGAAAGTAGCTGAGGGGGCCAAGCAAGTGAAAGTGAAAGGAGCGACCTGTGGTCTGGAGAGTCTCAAGAGATGATCCTTCTGTTGAGTCATGCTTTGTGAAGCTGAGATGAAGACAGGCGGTAGTCATTCTCCACGTCCTTCCTTTTCTTCTGCCTCGCACAAAGTCTTCTACCAGATCCTCCTAAGAAATAAATATAAAGCAGACCCCACAGGAGGGGATGGGCTGTCTGAGGGCCTGCCTGGTCATTCTATCACAGTGGCTCTAAACCTTCATTGAAATATTGACTCATGAAGACTATAACTAAAGAACAATGACCACATGAAATGTCACAGGGTTCATAGGACTCTCTTCTCCTACACTTGGCCTTCAAAGTCCTAAGGGACATCTCTCTGCATCAATCTCCAGCCCTCCTTTGCAAAGGCACAGCTGTTATCTACAGTATGTCCACAAAACTGGATGTATCCTAACTTTAGAGTGGCTTTCACCAAGTGGTTTTGTTTTTCCCCCATCGATGCGAGCTTTCTTTCATCTATCCTTTATCTTAAAAGCTCAATTAGATAACCAGACAGTCTTGTCCTACTTCATCAATATGTGTGTTTTTAAAGTGTTGTGACTGTTTTTTCCTAAAGGACACTACGAGCATCCCCCTCAACTCAGCGACTCAGAAGCCAAAGTTCATTATGGAACGGCCAACACAAGCTTGTACCATGTAATAAAGTTAGGTCAAGGTCAGGGAAAATTTTGATCCTAAAGAAACCTTTTTGGGTCACATCAAGCTGACCAGTCTGCTGAGATATGACCACAGCATTCCATCAGTTCTAAGGGCCAGCAGCTCCCCTAGCTGTCCTTGCTTGGGACTGCGGCTCATTCTTTCACACCTGCTAGGTGACAGACCCAAAAGGGGTAAATGGATTAGCACAGGGCAAGGTGCTGAGGATACAGCAGGCACTCATTCAATAAAGGAGGGGATCATTTTAGCTGGGCATTCTGCAAGCCCACACTGCAATGCAATATGCAAATCATAATTTTTGTAACTTCTAGTAATCCCTACCACCCTTCTGTGGCTCACACTACTATCTCACTACACCCTTTCTTCTTTTGCATCTGCACAGCTGCCATGAGCCAACCTCTAATCATTCCTCAGTCACTGAAGCCTATTATATCTGGCCCACAGCGTCCATTCCCAGCCCTGCTTCTGCTATAATCCTGGGTCACTTCAATATTTATATAACTAACCATCTGACATCCTAGCTTTGCAAGTATCTTGACCATTCCAATTTTGAAATCTCAAGGTTTCAAAATCCACTCTCTGATCGTAGGTCCTATTATTCCAATTTTCCAACCATTCAACACCCATCTTGATCACATTAAGTCCTCTTTTTATTCACAGACTTTGAGCTCACTTCTGACCTAACTGCCTTACATATAGTCTGGATTTTCAAATTCATTTCTGTGTAATCCCTCTCTCGCTAGCTGTCTACTCCTCAAACAGTATAGGTCAGTCCTAGGCAAACAAGTTTACTTGTGACAATGGCCTAAAACCACTTTATTATAATTTCCTGAGTTTCTAATCGAGTTTCAAGCTAGTTTCTCACTTAAACTGAATATATAAGTTGATATAATATAATAGTACCTCACTTTAACATACCAAAAGGCCCAACTCCAGCCTTTTGGTCCGAATATTCCTTAGACTCTGGTTTGTCTCCAAAATCCTGTCGCTGGTCAGCTTTCTCTCCATCATTCACCTCCACAATTACAAATCTTTAACACCCTTATTAGGTACTCTTCCTAAATCCTATCCCTATGCTCCAGTGAGGAGGTAATTTTTTTCAACCAAGGCTATTATTCCTCTCTACCCATATTTTAGAGCCATAGGTTTCACCCTCCCAACCCACATCACCTCTCAGGATCTTATTCCATTTGTTACCAGCTTTCTCTCCCACATCTACGAGGACTCCCTTCTCAGTTTTTCCTGCCCCAAAGTCTGCAATTTTCTCCCACAGTAAAGGGGAAACTTATATGACTCACTGTAGCACCCTGATGGAATCGTTTAACTTGTATTCTAGTTGTCACATCTTCTAACAGAAAGAAGGCTTCTCATGGAATAAGATTAATTAATCATGAAATAAGAAAAGAAATATGAGCCTGTTGGGTGGTGAACGGAAAGGGAGGCCTACCTGTCAGTGTAGGTAAGGGGATAGCTGAGGTAAAGTTGAAAGGGGAAACTGTGAATACCAGCCACAGGAGCAAACCCCAGACTGTGAGGATGAAGTTTCTGATCAATGATCATTTTGGTCCTACCCAAGGAGCAACCAGCAGCAACTGTAGTAGTAGTAGTAGTAGTAGTAGTAGTAGTAGTAGTAGTAGCAGCCATGCAACGTCTGCAAGTAGCCAAGACTAAAATGCAGGCATAGAAACAGAGTATTTCATGGAAAACATAATATCAAATATGACATATATGTGGCACTTGTGCAGCTACTCCCCCTCCTCCCACCCTCAGCAAACATCATTGATCAGTTATAACTCTCTTTCACACTGAACTGATACCTGGCTTCAGAATCCTTTTTATAAAACATAATCAAGGCAGGTGATACCAATCGATTGGAGATGGTACTTGAGAAGAAGTATATTTGCTATCCTTACGCTACACAGAAAAGTCCTCAGCAAAAGGATTAGAAGATAGGAGTAATGAAGCTTCAGGAGAAAGCATACTGAAGACAGCTTGGACGTTGTAGGCAACTGGCAGGGAAAAGCTGAGCCCATGGAGATCACAGAGCAGGCGCCCAATTAATGTCTGTTGATGATTCATTTTTTCATTCAACAAACATTTAATGAGGCCTACAATGTGCACGGGATTAGGCACCGAATACAAAGATGAATAAGGCACTGTCCTTGCCTGTAAGGAATTTAGAGTCTGGTAGACGAGAGCCATAGCCACGGACAATGATAATACAACCTGATAAGTGCTAGGACACTTAGCAGGTTGTATTATATCCATCCGAGTAGGATTTCTTCAGAAGAGCACAACTCCAGGTTGAGGTTGGATCCATGCAGTCCTCCCAGCCACCAGGGCCTGCTGTTGTTTCTGTCACATGGTGAGTATCCCAAGAACTAACAATGATAGCTATAATTCATAGAGTGCTTACGACATACACTTTACTAATATCCTCAAAGAAACCCTGCAAATTAATTATTTTATTAGATAAAGAAACTGAGGTTCAATGAGGTTAAGTAACATGCCTTAGATCACACAGCTAGTAAGTAGTTGAGTCGGGTTACAAGTCCAGTTTTGACCAACTCCAAAGCATTTTTCTACATTTTTAGGATAATCTTTATTCAGGTGTAACACAACTTTTCAACAGGTTTCTATTTGGAAATAAGAGCAAAGGCAATAGATTAGTGATCAGGGCATGGACAAAATTCATCTGGTTTCCAACCTATTTGGCAGAGAAGAAAAAGAAGGCAGAGAATTGACTTCATACTAGCATACCATTGAAAACCTTCATGTCAGTTAGTTTTCCTTTCTTTCTCAAACCCCAGGAGCTTTGTTGACAATGTAAAATATAAGCACCTCTAGTTAACTATCTTCTTTTAATCCTTGTCACGGTCAACATCATTATCAGCAGCAACTATAGTTGATAGAGCATTTAGCATATTTCAGACTTGTTCAAAGCAATTTACACAAGTAATCCCATTAAATCCTTATACCCACCCCCTCAAATCATCGCAAAAAATGATTATTACTCCTATTTAAATAAGACAAAGGACAGTTCCAGAGCGGTGAAAAACCATGCTTGACACCACACTGGTGAATGTAAGAGCAAATCTGAGTCTAGGCTATTTAAGTCCCAAGGCCCAAACTCTTACTGTCCTGCTCAGAGCTTCCTCTCCCAACCCTTCTTCCCTGACTGCCTTCTGTGATGGCTACTTACACAAGGTCGACTGAAAATACATAAGGTCTACTCAAATATAGTCTCCTATTAATCATTCTAATCAGAAATCCATTCTCTGAATCCCCAAGGCCACTATTCTGAACCTAGGTGGAGCATTTTCCAAAGGGCATGTTCATACTGCTTTGAAAAAAGAGGAAATAAACACAACATGTACAGACTTTTGATCAGTGAATAGATTTTGCTTAGAGGTGTAACCATAAGTACTGTGAAATCCCCTAAGCAAAATAAAACAATTGAGACAGTAACAATGAGGGCCCTTTCTTCCCTTGAGTGGGTTTTAGAGATAAAAACCTCCACTTTGACTTTGGGTAACATGTGATAGAGAGGGCTGCTACTGATGAGAAAGACCAGGAACTAAGTGATCCTATTAGAAGTCTGCAACTATTCAGATATTCAGATGTCTGAGAATCAACTTTTCATATACAGCTGCCATCCCAAAAAGAAACTTGCAAAAATGGTAGTTAAGCCCTGGTCCAAAAGAAATCAATAGCGATGCCTATCTAAAAACATGAAAGGATTTCTCATCAAGGCCAGGGATGGAGGTAGGTGAATGCACATTCTCCAGAGTCTGAGAGGCTTAATTTCCCCCTCTATTAATTTTCTTATGTTCTATTATGTCCACATTTTTATAGCCTCTCATTAAGAGGTTATCTCCTTTTCTCTACTCCCATTCCTTCTGGCCTTAGATCATGTATCATCTTAACCCTACTACGGTATCCTTCTAACTAATCTCCCTGTCCAGATCTGAAAATCTTCCAGAACACACTATATAGCACTTCCAGAGTGACCATCAAAAGCATCTCCTACTTAAACACTCAAAATGGGATCTGCATTTCATGGAATACTATGTAAGGATCTATTGTCAGCCTACATTTCTAACCTAATTTCAAGAACTACTTGTAGTTCCCCCAGTTCATCATTCTATTTCCAATGTCCACGACTTTGCTTAAAAGGACCTTCCCTGTTTTCTTCCTGGTCAAGCTTTACTTCTTTTAAGAACCCACTTAAGCTAATTATTTCCTTCAACCTCTGGCATCTCCAAACTAAATCAAATGATTTTTCTCAACCCCATAGTATCTTGTACATACCTCCATTGCAGAGCATACCATACTGTTGTAATTATCTGTGCACACGTCGAACTCTCTCACTAGACTAAGAACTCCTGAGGGCAGGGACTGTGTCTAAGTCCGTCTCCATATCCCCATCATCTAGCACAGTGCCTGGCAGCTCAAAATGCAGCAGAGAGAAGAAACTGAAGATGCAGGAGAGAGAACAATAAGGCAATTATTTTTTTGAGTTGGGGTACAATACAAATATACTGATTAAGTTGAAGCTGTAAAAAAACATATTTCAGCTCAATACTGCACAGAGCTCTTCAAAGAAGAAACAAGCTGACTTAGGAAGAAGTTCCCCATTGCTAACTGACCCACAGGCGAAATTTAAGGCCATTTTGGGGTATAACCCAAAGTATCTTCCACAACCTGCTCTCTAAAGCCTTAAGTTTTCTCCTTAAACCTTAGTGCCTTTGATTAATGTTTGTTAAAATGCCATTTAATCTAATGTGGTGAGTTGGCATTCATCAAGTGTATACGAAACGACAGATAATAGCAACACAATCCCTTCTGTACCCCCACCCCCAGAAATCATCTAGCCTGACCTTTTCCTTCCTCCAACACAAATCAAAGAATACGCACAAAATACACTGATTTTTAATTCTTGTTCTCAGTTTCCTCACTGCGAAATATGGAGATTGTATTGAATGGTCTCCCAGATCCTTCTTACCCCAAAGAAACTCAAAGAGTTTCTAAACCTATGTTTTTCCACTTATAAAAAATAAACATGTGAAGTCTGTTCTTCCAAATTCACAAAATTTTTATAAGGGCCAAATAAAACCATATTTCTGAAAGGTTTCTAGGTCCTATACAAATTTAAGGAATTACTCCTGTAAATTAAGATATACTGGAGGAGATATATTGTAAATTAAGATGTACTAGAGAAGTAAACTCTGCCATTCATTTAATGAGTTATCTTAACAAATTTATTCTACCTCTCTGGGATACCTCAGAGACTTGTAGTGATGATTAAATGGGAACATGTAAAGTAGGCACACAATAATACTCAGTTTCTTTTTTTTTAAAGATTTTATTTATTTATTCATGATAGAGAGAGAAGCAGAGACACAGGCAGAGGGAGAAGCAGGCTCCATGCACGGAGCCCGATGTGGGACTTGATCCCTGGTCTCCAGGATTGTGCCCTGGGCCAAAGACAGGCGCTAAACCACTGTGCCACCCAGGGATCCCCTAATACTCAGTTTCAATTGTCCTTATTGAAATAGTCAGAATGCCAGAAATAAATGTGACCTTTAGTGCATGCAATCCAACCTCTCATTACAATGCAGGGAGATTCTCAAATTCCATTCCAAGTCGTCATAGAAACCACTAAATATCACTTCCAAGAATATTCTCATCTTTGGATGGCTCCTAAATCTGATTATCCATTAACTAGTACTGCCTTCAAAAGCAGCCAAAATCAAAAAAAAAAAAAAAAAAAAAAAAAACAAAAGCAGCCAAAATCAACTATTCCTGACTCTATAAAAGATCTGAAAACAGATGCCCAAAGTCTTTATTTTGGACGTATTGTCTTCCACAATCTAAATAGCACTAATTCCTATAATGCTTCTCATGGATATTATCCAAGCTCAAATCCCTCTCAGAATTCCAGATGTTCTCTAGCTCCCTTTTGGAGGGTGCTATTAAAATCGAAACAGAACCATCAAGTGGAATAGGACTCTTACCTTTCTGATTCTAAACTTTTGTAGTGAGAACACAAGTTAGCCTTATATTGGAGGGCATAATGGTCTTCAGTGGATACATATCCTGTATGCAATGGGCACTAAGCTCCCAGAAGCTTGCAGGATGGAGGAAGCACTTCTAAATGGGAAAGAAGAGGGTCAAAGGGATGCTGACAGCACTAAAAATAAATGGCTTACTACATAATTTCCCTATTATTAGAAATCACCTCTGTAATTAATACAAAACAAGGATATGGAACATTATAAATAATTCAGACTCCTAGGGCCACATGGAAGAAATGTTACCATCATATCAAAAACTACATTTTGTATGACCTTTTATACTGAAGAATCTAGTCTATGCAGATGACATCTTCTGTACTTTTCTCAAAAGAACCTCAGTTCCTAGGACATCTGCCTATTTCTTTCAGAAACTAGGAAAAATATTGAAGATAATAAGTGTAATAGACACACATTAATTATTTAAGACCTGAATAAAAGGAGAAACATACCACATTCATGTATTAGAAGATTATAAAGAGGACAGCTCTTCAAAAATTAATCTGTGCCATTCCAACTGCAATTCTAATGGTATTCATGGTGAGGACTTGACAAGTTGTTTCTAAAGGTCTCCTGGAAGAATAAGCACATGAAGATAAAGACAATTTTAAAAAAATTAGTGTACCATACTAATCACAATGTGATAAAATATACCTTAAATATAATTTTATATGTAATTATAAAGATATATAAGCTTACATATTATATGCTTATATATAATACATACATAATTATATAACACATATGTCATGTATCTATGAGGTAGTTCAGACCAGTAATGAAATTCTTAACATGAAGAATCACAGTAAATAACTATTGGGTCAGAAAAGAAATGTAAATTATGATCAAACACACTTAACAAACAACAAAACAAAAACACCACTTTTGAGATTCAGCCAGTACTACATAGAGCCTTATGTTCCCTTATTTATTAAAAAATAATGAAAAAGAATTACTCAGTAAAGATGACAAGCATAATGGGAGTTAAAGGTGAAAAGAGGACATAAAGAATATGTGAATAAATAACAGCCAAAACTTGCCAGATCTGATGAAAAGTATTAATCTATATACATCATGTAAGAAGATCAATGTATACCAAAAGGATAAATTCGAAGACATTCAAATCAAATCTAGACTCATAATAATCAAATGGTCAAAGTGACTTCAGAGTCTTGAATGCAACAGAACAACTACTCATCATATATAATGGATACTACATAAATTTCCATAAACCATAGAGACCAGAAAATAGTGGGATGATTATATTCAAACTACTGAAGGAAAAAGAAAAGAATGCTGACCAAGAATTCTGTATCCAGCAAAACTAATCTTGAGAAATGAGGGAGAAATTATGACATTCCCAGATAAACCAAAATTAAAAACATTTAGTGCTAACAGACATGTCCTACAAGAGATTTGTGTTCATGTGTTTACATTGCATACAAATGTAACTTGTATAATAATAACAGCACAAAGAGGGGAGGGAACAAAGATATAGTGGGGCAAATTTTGTACACAACTGAAATTAACTTGGTGTTAATCTGAAAATAATTATTTTAAGGTAAGATGCTAATTGAAATACCAGAGCAACCATGAAAAAAATGTTAAAAAACACAGTAAAAGAAACAAAGGAATTAAAATGGTAAAGAAGCTTCTTAACATAAAAGGCAGTAGTAGATGAACAGTTAAACAAAAAGACATAAGGCATGTGGAAAACAAATAAGAAAACAGCAGATATCAGTCCTACCTTATCGGTGTATTTAATTATATTAAACATAAATCTGGGCAGCCTGGGTGGCTCAGCGGTTTGGCATCTGCCTTTGCCCCAGGGCGTGATCCTGGAGACCCGGGATCGAGTCTCACATCGAGCTCCCCACATGGAGCCTGCTTCTCCCTCTGCCTGTGTCTCTGCTTCTCCCTCTCTGTCTCTCATGAATAAATAAAATCTTTAAAAAAACCCAAAAAACATAAATCTGCCCCACCCGTGTGTCTCTCATAAATAAATAAGTAAAATCTTTAAAAAATTAAAAAGGCATTTTATTAAAATGGAAGGATCAATCCATCAAAAAATATAAGCACCATAAAACATATACACACACACACACACACCCCTAACAAAAGAGCAACTAAAGTAAGAAAAAAAAAAGATGGAAACAAGAAAAAATAGATAATTCAGCAATAACAATGGGAGACTAGCTACAGGTTTGTCTTTTATTGTTATGGTTTCAAAAAACCAAATTTAGTTCCCCCGATTTTGTTTTTTTTTTCCTATTCTTTCTTTCATTTATTCCTATTCCAACTGTATTATTTCCGTCTTCCTGATTCACTTGGTTTAGTGTGTTCTTTTTAAATTTCTTAAGGAAGTTTGCTTATTGATTGGAGATCTTCATTTTAATACAGGTAATTACAGCTACAGTATATACAATTACATACTGTGTGTATATATATATATGTTTATGGTGCTTATATTTTTTGATGGATTAATCCTTCTATTTTAATAAAATATCCTTTTTAATTTTTTAAAGATTTTACTTATTTATTCATGAGAGACACACGGGTGGGGCAGATTTATGTTTAATATAGTTAAACATACTGATAAAGTAGGACTGATGTTTGCTGTTTTCCTATTTGTTTTCCACATGTCTTATATCTTTTTGTTTCTCTGTTCATCTAGTACTGCCTTTTATGTTAAGTAGTTTCTTTACCATTTTAATTCCTTTGTTTCTTTTACTGTGTTTTTTAACATTTTTTTCATGGTTGTTCATGAAAAAGAGAGGAAAAGCTCAAATAAATATGACCAGGAATAAGAGAGGAGACATTACCAACCTTACAGGAATAAAAGAATCACAAGGAAATACTATAAAAAAGTGTATGCCAATTAGATATCTTAGATGAAATGGGCACATTCCTTGAAAGACACAAACAACTGAATCTGACTCAAGAAGAAAAATCTGAATAGACTATAAAAATACATTAGATAATCAATCCATAAAAGTCCCCAAGAGTCCTTGAACTCTTTAATGGTAAATTCAGTGAAACGTTTAAAGATTTAATGCCAATTCCTTGCTTAAAGTTCAAAAAAATTTTGAGAAGGAAACTTTCCAACTCATTCTATGAGGTCAGTATTAGTCTGATACCAAAGCCAAAGATAAAATGAGAAAACTACAGAGCAAGCTACCTTTTGAGTACAGATTTCCAAAAATGTCCAGCATAACACTAGCACACTAGATCTAGAAAGAAAATGATTATATACCATGACCAAGTCAGATTTACCTCAGTAAAGCAAAGTTGGTTTAATATCTGAAAACCAATGAATCAAATACACTGTAGTTACAGAATAAAGAGGACATCTCATGATCGTATCAACAAATGTAGAAAAAAAGCATTTGACAAATTTCATGACAACCACTCTTGATTTAAAAAATGAAAACCTCAGCAAACAACAGAAGGGAACTTTCTATACTTGACAAAGGACATCTACAAAAAACATATAGCCATCATTGTGATTTATGGGAGAAAGTAAGTGTATTTCCACCAAGACCAGGAAGACTGCTCTTGCCAATACTGTACAGGAGATTTTTAGCCAGAGTAATTAGGCAGAAAAAAGAAATAAAACTCAATGAGATTAGAAAGAAAGAAGTACAATGATCTGTATTTGTAGGGGATATAATCTTATACATAAAAATCCTAAGGAATCTACCAAAAAAACCATACCCCACCTACTATTAAAACTATTAGAATAAAAAGAAGCAACTCTAAGCAGTTCAAAAAGCTTAGAACACACAATAACAATTGAAAATATTTTTACTTCTATATACTAGCAATGAACAATCAAAATGAAATGAAAACAATTCTATTTTCAATATCATAAGAAAAGCAGAACATTTAGAATACTTTTTTAAACAGAAATGCAATACTTCTTATCCTAAATATTACAAATGTTAAAGGAAATTAAAGACTAAATGAATGGAAAGACATCCCATGTTAACAGACTGAGAGAGTTAACATGGCAATATTCCACAAAGCAATCTACAAGTTTAACGCGACCTTCATCAAAATTCCAGATATTTTATAGCAACTGACAAAATGATCCTAAAATTCATATGGAAACTCAGCATCCAACAATCATGAACCAAGTTGGAGGATTCATACTTCCAGATTTCAAAATTTACTATAAAACTAAAATAATCAAAACTGTGTGATCTGGGTATAAGGATATAGAGACAAATGAAAAAGAACTTACAGGCCCAAAATAAACCCCTGAATTTCGAATCAATGAATTTTCAATACAGGTGTCAAGATAATTCAATAGGATAGTCTTTTCAATTAGTGGTGGTAGGACAATTAAATATCTACATGCGAAAGGATAAAGTTGAACTTCTACCTCACACCACATATAAAAATAAATGCCAAATGGATTAGACTTCAATGTAAGATAATGGTTTGTTTCTTTGTTATGACACCAAAATCAAAAGCGACCAAAAAATAGGTAAAATGGATTTCATCAATATTAAAAATTTACATTCTGTAAACAAAGTTAAAAGACAACATAGAAAATGGGGAAAAATATTTGCAAATCACATACCCAGTAGGAGTCTATTATCCAGTTATATAAAGAATTCTCACAACAATGAACAAAAAGACCTGTAACCCAATTCTAATGAACAAAGGATTTGATTTTTTTTATTTATTTATGATAGTCAGAGAGAGAGAGAGAGAGAGAGAGGCAGAGACACAGGCAGAGGGAGAAGCAGGCTCCATGCATCGGGAGCCCGACGTGGGACTTGATCCCGGGTTGCCAGGATTGCGCCCTGGGCCAAAGGCAGGCGCTAAACCGCTGTGCCACCCAGGGATCCCCGAACAAAGGATTTGAATAAACATTTCTGCAAAGAAATACAAATGGCCAATAAGCAGATAAAAAGTTGCTCAACACAGAAATACTAGTCAAAACCACAAAGAGATACTTCACATCCACTAGGGTGGCTATTATAAAAGAAAGTAACAAGGGGGAAGGGAGTAAGTTGAAATCCTCATACACTGCTGGTGATATTGTAAAATGGTGCAGCCACTTTAATAAGGTTTGTCAAAATTACAACATTAAAACAGAGTTGCCCTATTACAAAGAAATTCCACTGCTAAGTGTATGTATACCAAGGGAAATGAAAATATGTCCACATAAAAACTTGTACGTGAATGTTTACAGCGCTGCTATTTGTAACAGACAAAAGGTGGAAACCCAAATGTCCTTCAACAGATGAATAAATGAAATGAAGTTAAATCCATAAAGTAGAATTTATTCAGATATAAAACAGATGAAGTATGAATATATATATACTATAATATGGATAAACCACCCAAACATGCTAAATGATAGAAGCCAGACATAAAGGCCATATATTCCATTCAAATGAATGTCTAGAATAGACCAATCCATAGGGACAGAAGTTAGATTAGCAGTTGCAGGGATTGTGAAAGAAGAAAATGAGGAATTACCACTAATGGGGCTTCTTTCTGAGGTGATAAAAATGTTTTACAGTAATATAGAAATGATGATTGCAACAATTCTGTGAATA